GTGCTTCTTCCATGTGGGCTATGATGCTTCTCAGCTAGATGGCCGCTTGTTTATCTGCAAGCCTTTAAGACCCCAGACACTATATCTTTTGATAGCCAGGCACCATCAGCTTTCTTCACCACATTTGCTTATGCACACGTTTGTTTTCAGCAATCATGTCGGGATGCCAATTTAATAAAACAACGTATTCTTGCATTTAGTAAGTACTTGAGTGGAGGCCCAGTGTCCATCTGCTGCCTTAATACTAAACCTATAAATATATGCATGTAGATCTATTTCCCTACCATCCCTATATAAATATATTTACATATGTACATGCCTATATTTAGACCTCTATAAATACCCTTTGTCACCTAGTTCTTTCCTCTATTTCCTTTTACTTTCCTCTTGTCCCACTATCATGCTCAGCCTTCATTTGGGTTTCAATAATTTCTCTTGGTTACATTGCTCTTGCTGAATCCCTACAGGGCCTCTCACACACTCCTTGCCACTAAATTTGCATCACTTGTTGCTCCCCTGTCCCTGGGTTGGTCAACACCACCTCCTTAGCCCTACCTCCCCCTCTCCCATGTCCCCCCAGAACCATTGGTCCCGTTGTTTTCTCCTCCACACTATTCATCCAGCCTATTTTATCTAGATAGATCTGTAGAGATAATAATATGCACCAAAAATTAAGGCATAGCAAGATAGGCGATGAATGAGAACACAGCGATGACAACAAAAATGAAAACCAGTGACCCATAAAAAATACATTAATTAAAAGAAAAGAAAAAAAGAAAAAAATTTAAGAAAGAAAAGTGTGTAAATAGATCAAGGTATGAATTTTGAACTCTAGGCACGTCCTCCAATCAGGTTCGATGAGGTGCCGCGCTCTGGCCCCAGAGTCTATCCTTTGTACTCCCTCTGGAGTTCCCTGCTCTGCTCCCACCATTGCTCTGTCGCCTTTTAGTGGTTTGCCTCGGTGTCTCGGGGTCAGTCCGGGCCAGTCTGACACTGAGTCTCCTGTGTTGTCCCACTTAGGGCCCTGGGCCAGCAAGGGATGGCGTGTCTCATAGTTGGATCAGCCATATGGCCCACTCTGTGAATTGGCTGTTCAGAGCAGGGATATCGTCCTCCAGGTCTGGTGGGCCAGGATGTGCTCCACTCTCTCTTCCTCCCCATTCATTTGCTCCTGTGTGCTCTGATCAGACCTGCCCCTCTCCGCTAGCTGCAGCTTCAGTGCCTTCCTCTAATGTAAATTTTTCTGTTGGGAGGGGAAATTGTCCATGTAGCTGGTATGGGGGCCGAGCCCTCAGGCCCCTCCACTGGCTCCCCACTCCTTGCAGGCAAGCTACATTTGCATCCTGGAACACTGGCTTTAAATCTGGTCCCTCTTTCCCTGTGGAGACACAAACAATACCCTCCCCTTGGGTGGGTCAGTGCCCTATTCCCCTGCCACACATCTCTTTTTCCCCCCTTTCCTCCCTCCCCACCCTCTTTTTAGTTGGCTACTGTATGTACCCCTGGATTTGGTCTGGCCCCTGCCATACTACCTGGACCTCACCCCTAGAGTGTATGTATACAGTAGCTTTTCCCCTGTTCCCCTTTTGCATTTTTCTTTTCTGTTCTTTTTTTTTTTTTTAATAAACTTACCTCAGCAGACTCATGTTATACTTGTTATTTTGTAACTTGGCACTCTTTGATACTCACCTTACTGACACGATAACTGAAGACAAAATGGTTGCATAAGCAAATGTGCTGAAGAAAGCAGATGGTGCCCAGCTATCAAAATATATAGTATTTGGGGTCTTAAAGGCTTGAAGTTTATCAAACAGCCATCTAGCAGGGACTCAAATAAGCCCATGTAGGAGAAACACACCAGCCTTTGTTATCATAAGGTGTTGATGGGATCAGGTATAAAAAGATCCAAAACAAATAATTATGTCAATGTGAAAGAGGGGAGCTTGAGTGGAGACCTAAAGCCCATGTGTAGACAACTGGATATCCCCCACAGAAGATTTACAAGGAAGTGATGATTCAACCAATGTATAGGATAGCACTGATGAAACACTTCATTCCTTTAGTTCCTGAATACTTCCTGCCCCCTACTACCATGACCATATTCTGCCTTAGAAATCTAGCTAGACCAGAGTACACACATTGGTACAGTTAAGAGTTCTCGACGCATGGAAATCAGGACAGATAAACCCCTCAGGAACATTAGTGGGTGTAGCAATGTCATGAGGCTAGGGGGAGGGTAAGTAGGGGGAGAAAGGGAGAACCCATCATAAGGTTGGATATATAGCCCCCCCAAGGGGGATAAATAACAGAACAGTGGGTGAAGGGAGACAGTGGACAGTATAAGACTTGAAATAACAACAATAATATATAATTGATCAAGGATTCATGATAGTGGGGGAGGGAAGGGAAAAATGAGGAGCTGATACCAAGGGTTCAAATATAAAGAAAATGTCTTGACAATGTTGATGGCAACATATGTACAAGTGTGCTTAATACAATTGAATGATGGACTGTTATGCAATTTCTAAGAGCCCCCAATAACATGACTTTAAAAAAAATATGTCCTTGAAATCATTGAAGGATTTCTGCCAGGGTGCACAGATGTCATGGTAAAATCATGAGTTGTAATAGTTAAGTCTTATTAACATGTTTTTCTTGGATAAAAAACATTTTGAAACATTAAATTGCAGTTGGGCAAAAATAGTGTGCATTCTATATTTCAATATAAAAACCAATAAAATGAAACCATAAAATGTTGGGGCTGTGAAACACTAAGGGTGTGCAACAGAACAGCAAGGGTGACAGAGCAATGAAGTGGCCAGGGAATACCAAAAATAGACTTTGGGACCAAGGTGTGGCATGCCATCAGGTTAACAAGATCCTTGAACTAGCGACAGGCTTTTCTCATTTTTGTTGTTGATTTTGTTGTTATTGTTGTTTTGTTTTCTTTTGTTGCCTCGTTTTGCTCTGTCTTGCTTTTTGTGCATATTATTATTTTTGCAAGTCTATCTAGATAAGATAGGCGGGATAATCAATCTGGAGGAGAGAACAATGGAACCACAGGTTCTGGGGGGGACATGGCAGAGGGGGCTGCAGGGAAAAGGAAGTGGGTGTTAACAATCCCAGGGACAAAAGAGCAACAAGTGATCCAAAATCAATAGCGTGGAGGGTGTAGGAGGTCTGGTAGGGCTTGGTCAAGGGCAATGTAACTGAAAGGAGTTTCTGAAACCCGAATGAAGGCTGAACATGATAGTGGGACAAGAGGAAAGTAAAAGGAAATAGAGGAAATAACTAGGAGGCAAAGGGCATTTATAGAGGTCTAAATACAGGCATGGACATATGTAAATATATATATAAATGACGATAGGGAAATAGATCTATGTGTACATATTTATAGGTTTAGTATTAAGGTAGTAGATGGACACTTCCACAATGTACTTCCACAATGCAAGAACACTTTGTTCTAATAAGCTGGTACATGATGCTCACCTTCCTGACATGATCACTGAATACAAAGTGGTGCATAAGCAAATGTGGTGAAGGAAGCTGGTGGTGCCCAGCTGATAGCCCAGATGCTATCAAAAGAGATAGCGTCTGGGGTCTTAAAGGCTTAAAGATAAGCAAGCGGCCATTTAGCTGAGAAGCAACAAAGCCCACATGGAAGAAGCACACCAACCTGTGTGACCACGAGTTGTCGAGAGGGGATCAGGTATCAGGTATCAGGCATCAAAGATAAAAAAAACATTATAAATAAGAGGGATTGCGGAGTGGAGACCCAAAGCCCATCTATAGGTAACTGGACATCCCCTTACAGAAGGGTCTCAGGGAGGAGACGAGCCAGTCAGGGTGCAGTATAATACCCCCCCACTATTATGATCCCAGGTCTACCTTACCAATCTGGCTAGACCAGAGGATGTACACTGGTACAGATAAGAGCTGGCAACACAGGGAATCCAGGACAGATAAACCCCTCAGGAAGCAATAATGAAAGTAGCGATACCAGGAGGATAAGTGGAAAGTGGGGGAGAAAGGGGAAACCGAATGCAAGGATCTAAATATAACCCCCTCCCTGGGGGACGGACAACAGAAAAGTGGGTGAAGGGAGCCATCGGACAGTGTAAGACATGAAGTAATAATAATAATTTTTTAATTATCAAGGGTTCATGAGGGAGGGTGGGTGGGGGAGGTAGGGGAAAAAAATAAGGGGCTGATACCTAGGGCACAAGTAGAAAGAAACTGTTTTGAGAACAGTAATGGCAACAAATATACAAATGTTCTTAACACAATGGATGGATGTATGGAATATGATAAGAGTTGTAAGAGACCCCCATAAAATGATTTTTTTTTAAATGTTGGGGCTGAATCAAGTGGTAGTTGCAGGGATGGAGAGTTAACTTACCAGCAACATTTAGAGATACAAACTTAGGTGTTTTTTTCAATAAATGCAGTGATGAACACATTGTTCTGTTTATTGGCATAACAATATATTATGTAAAAGGTTTTGGAAATATATATATGTAACCTTGTTAACTCATTTTAATATGCATATATAATTTAATCATGTCATTATTTATGCCTCTTGATGTATACCATACCTTGCTTACTGAAATGTCTTCTTTTCAAGTATTGTGCTTTTAAGCATTAAGATAGCAATCTAAGTCTGGAAAGCAACATTAATCCATAATACATTGGGTATCATATATTGCTGTCAGATGACCTTGTACTCTGGCAGGATCTGAGAGATTTACAATCAGCATGAATGCTCTATCCAGAAGTTTTCCCCGCCACATTTAGTGAGAAAGAAATAAACGTTTATTTGAGGCACTAGATTTACTCTGGTTTACTCTGGATTAATATGTTTGGGGTTAATGCTGTTTTCTCCCATGTACATAGCAGATTTAAACTGTCAACTTTTTAGTCATCAGCCCAATGCATAACCTAATATGCCATCAGGACTCTTTCATAACAGTGGCGATGTGTAGAAATAGGCGTACTCAAGAGACACTTCGCAAATAAAATTGGTGAATTGGATATAAGGAGGGGAGTGATGCCGGAAAATGGATGATATCCAGGTTACTGACCCATATAAACAGATGATCATCATGCATCTACTGATTTGGGGAGCACAAAAAAACCAAGTTAGAGAGATAATGAGTTTTGGATCTGTCACATGTAGGTGCCTTTGAGGAAATCAAGGCAAAATGCTGAACAGGCAATTTGATATATAAGCCTGGATCTCAGAGAAGAATTCTAGGCTTGAACTAAAAATTGGGAATTGTTGACAATATAGTTCATTGGAACCAGGAGCTTAGACAAGATTGCCAAATGAAAGAGGTACTTCACCCCTTCCCAGTCAAATTTATGGAACAAATAATGCATTCTTCCTGTCTCTACTTCCAAGGAGTCCTAGTAGTACCATTGGTTAAGCATTAGGCGAATAACTGAAAGATTGATGGTTTTAACCCACCAGCTGCTCTATAGGAGAACAAAGATGAGGCAGTCCTTTTCCATAAAAAGTTACAACTTCAGAAAATCTAGGGAATTCTGTCCCATCTTATAGAATCACTGGGAATCAGAAACAACTCTTTACTTCTTTTTTTAAAAAACATTTTATTAGGGGCTCATACAACTGTTATCGCAATCCATACACACATCAATTGTGCAAA